GTTATCAGAATCCTTTAATTGTATATATTTAAAAAAAAAACTTATTTTTGTATTTAATAGAGAGTTTTAGATCATTAGTGATCCATGGTTTTGTTTTCAATTTTATATCCATGTTAGTTAATTTTCTAAATAGGGCATTAATATTGAGCAATTTATTTATAGTGTTAATAGTTTTAAGAAGCAAGCTATTACAGTCATTATCACAAGACTCATTGGCAACCTTATCATTAAAATCTTTTTTAAAATCAGATAAAAATGATGCATCATTTAATACTTTGCAGTTTCTTTTATAAACAGCTGGCTTTTTGTTAGATGATACTTTTAAGATGTCATGAGTAGTAAGAAATTGAGGTAGGTGATCAGATAAAGATGTTGTGAAATAACCTTCAGTAAAGTTATTTGATTTCAGGTTTGGAAATATGTTGTCAATTAATGTTATAGATTTATTAACTATACGAGTAGGACGGACAATATGAGGCAAGAAGTAGTTAGAGAATAGTAAATTTAAGAATTCTTGAGTCGAATGAAAGTCACTTAATTAAATCTATATTAAAGTCATCTAGTAAAAATACAGTTTTATTTTCTTTAAAAAGTTTTTCAAGGTATGGAAAAATATAGATTGCATTAAAGTCATCTATTGTCATTAATAAATGTTTATATTTACAACCAATAATAATATTATGTTTTTAAGGGTTTATTAATTTAAGAAAAACAGATTCTAATTCTTTTGGTTTGTAAACATGAAGATCTTTTTGAGGTTTACATGCAAACTTATTATTAATGTATAAAAGAGCACCTCCAGCTTGTGATTCTGTAGGTGTATGTTTATAACAGTAACCATTGAGCAAGATATTCGTAGTTGGAACTTTATTATTAATTAATCTAGTTTCTGTTATTCCAATAATATCAAATTCTAGTTAAGTTGATTTTAATAAATGTTCTAATTCATCAATGTGCTTTGAGAAGGAAGCAATATTTAGGTGAATAAGTTTAAAAGAATTTTTATCATTAGAAAGATGACTTAAACCACTGATATCAGTGTAGAAGCTATTAAATGCTGATTTTATTTTATGATTAGCTTCACATGAGAGAATATTTAAGGTATCAGTAAAAGATTTGAGATTTTTTTTTAAGGTAACGAACAACTTTTTTCTTAATGCTATTTGAACCACTATTAATAAAATATTCGTTGTTGATTGGAAATATAGAGCTCAGACAGTTCTTATAAAACTATAAATCATCATTAGATGAGTTTTTGAGTAAATGATAGTCTATATTGTAAAGATTACATTTTATGTGTACCCAAGATAAGAAGTTATCACAAAAAATAGCTTTTTGATTTTTAGAGACAATAATTTTGCAGATATCACATAAGCTATCTGCCATGATATATATTAATAGTATGGTATTAATAATCAATATTAAAGAATAAATAAATATGCTTATTTTCATTTCATGTCAAATTAACTAAAAAAAAAATTTTCCACACCATACTATTTTAGATTTTGCTGATTTTCGGAGTACAAGCTTAAATTAATGAAAGAAAACTTGACTCCAAATTTTAGTATCAAACTCCTTACGGTTTCAGAGATATTGATATTCAGTCCAAATCTTTTTTTTTTTTACTTTTTTTTTCAGCGCCATTTGTTTTTTAAGCTCATTGCACAACACAATTAGCTTTAACTTATAAAAGACTTGTTCAATAGTGATGAAAATTTCTAAATAACTACTTTTTTTTGTGAGGAACTCAGAAATCATTGCTAAAACGTTAACAAATTTAAGCTTCTATATAAATAATCCATTTCAAAATAGTGTAACACTTTTTGTAAGATTTTTTGTGCCTTGTACAAAAAAAAGTTTATTTTGAGATGCCTATATGATATAATTCTGAAATTTTTTCCTAATGTTCTATATGTTACAAACTCCATAATACAAAAAATCTGGAAGGGTTTTCTTTTTTTTATATCAAATTTATTTGCATTTAAAGTTTTATAATAATAAACCAAAAAATATTAAAATTACAATAAAACCATGGAAATAATTAAATTGCAATAAGAACTAAAAGACAACAAGAATTAACAATCTTTGACACTCAAAAAAAAATAAGAATTCAAATTCTTTGACAGATTACAAATTAGTTCTCTAGTTTAAAGTTTGCCCAGCTATCTTCAATGCTCTGGTGATCAATTTCACTGATTTCGTATTGTCTTCCTGTAACAGTTGTTAGGATATCAATCATTAACAATAAGTTTGTTGATGGAACCCAGCAAATGTCATCTCTAGTAGGCCAATAATATGACCTTGAAAGGTAACATGGATGCATGAATCTGACTTAAAAGTCTTTATTTTTAATATCAATTTTCTAAACTAGTCCGATCCATGGATTGTTATTATATATCAAACATACCAACACACCAATGTTTATATTAGACAAGAATTCTTTAATAATCTCATCAGTTTGAAAATTAAAAACAAATGAATACTCCAATTGTTCAGAAACAACTTTAGTTCCAATTTTTGTGTTACTTATTGGAACGAAATTGTGATAGCTGCGAGTGCCTGGTATCGTTTTTGCAGTTGCATATCTTTTCTCCATTTCACTTTGAATTATCATGTTTAACTCCTTGGATATGTAATAAAAATTAATTCCTATGATTTCATTTTGGCAAAAATAAAACATTGCAGATGCTGTAAGAATATGATTTATTGTTGTTCAATGAAGGCTAGCAATTAAAGTTAGTCTTTTTACAGTCCCACCAATATCATTACAGGATTTACCATGACTTGTTGCGAAGAAAAACTATGTACATTTCATAGCAAAATTTTGTTCATGGTGGCATATATTTATGAAGTGTTTGTAGCTCTTGTACTGGCCAGCACACCTATCTGAAAAGTTATGGACAGTTTCTATTTGATGTGAAATATTGTTGAATTGTTAGCTTCATCACTTGATAAACCTTATCTACATCATGCAGTAAATCAATTCAGATGAAACATATTGAATCACATTTAAGGACATTATTTTCTTTATAATAAATTACTGTTGAATGCAATTTTGCTTGAATTTTATTCCAGTGAAAAATTTGTATTTTGTCTTGTACAACAAACTCATAATTTTCTGAGAAATTACAAAGGAAAATGACCTCAGTACTACTTAACGTATTTTTTAAATTTATTAAAGAAGCAGCTTGACTTTTTGCAATTTAAGAATGAACAGTAAGTTTTGTAACAAATTTTTCAAAGTATTAATAAAGCTACCTGTCATTTCTGTTAGACTTAATAGCTCAGATCAGTCTGTTGTTTTCCATTGTTTGTAATCTATACAATAATCATCATCTTCATCAATATCGTCTTGAGAATACAACTCATTTTCAAAATAATGTACTAATGTAGAATCTTCTGGGCACAAAGGATAAAGATGTATCTTGCAAGTCTTGTTAGCCCTATTACAAACAAGCATATCAATAAGCTCGTGATAATCCTTTGATAATTTAACTGCACTAATCATTAACTTAACATTTTGATGGTAGGTGCAGGCTTGGTCGGGAAGCGGGAGTGATCGCTCTCGAATACTGACCATGGAAATTATATTTAGTTGCAAAAAACTGGCCAGGTTTTTTAGTTCTTTTGAGAACATCTAAGTTTATGTATGAAACAATAAATTTTGTTTTTATGGACATACATGGAAACATAAAAAACTTGAATGTTCTCAAAACCTCTTGGTGTGGAAGAATGAAAAGAATACTCGCAAACTCTAAAAACCTGCCAAATAAACGAACAAACTAATTCTATTGGTTCAAAAAATACTCTGACTAAGCAAAATAAAGGTCTAGAGTATTCTGTTGAAATGTTTTATAAATTGTATTATCCACGATTTGTTACGTTAGATTTCTAGCATAGATTGTTATAAGAATATATTATCAATTCTATGGCTCATTCTCGGAGCCACATCTGCATAGCCGTATATCTTATAAACTATTATTATTTGTTTACATAAATTAATGTTTTAAATATATATTATTTAAATTGTCAAAATTTTGAAAGTTTATTATAAATTGTAGATTTTATTAGTATATACTTATTTAAAGAGAATGTATTTTTTATGTAAATATAAAATTGTGTATCTGTTTTTTATCGATTTAATTTGTAAACTAAGACTTGCAAAAATAATTGCGTTTTCAATGAAGTTATTAATAATCATTAAAGTTAATAAAACTATTTATGTAGCAAACATATAAGAAGTTTCTGGTTATTAAACACTATGCATACAAAGTAACTCGCGTATGAACAAATACCGCGCCTGAGGTCACAACAGAACATAAATATATATAGCAAGTTATTAGATATAAAGAAAATTTCTAGATATTGGTTCACTAAATGTAATTATTTTCGCTTAAGTTGCCATTCTTAAAAACTCATTATACTTTTTTCTGCTTTAAATACTAATTAAAATTAAAAAGCCCACTCACTAAACATCAGCGATATTATGAAGCAGTTTGGCTTCCTCGTCATAAAAATATTTTTAACTTTTTTAGTTGATTTCTATCCAATAAATTTAATTTCTATAGTAATTCAATGATTTAATTATTTCATTTGTTTATCTTACTAAGAAGATTTGTTTTTGCTTTTTGAAATGTTCTCAAAACGACTAAAAAATTTGACCAGCTTTTTGCAACTAAATATTATTTCCGTGGTCAGCAATCGATAGCGATTGCTCCTGCTTCCCGACCAAGCCTGTAGGTGTACACACATACTGTATGCATACCAGATGCTCCAACTGTAATGCACCATTTTGGATGATGTCAGTAAAAGTTTGAAAATAAGTCTTTATATCTGGATAACAGGTTTTAAACTTTGCATATAGCTCTTTTAGATTTGAGAGAATCAAAGGCTTTTGCTTGTGAGATCATTCAGCTTTACTATACCATACCTTTAAAAAATCTTCTAGATGTACATCTTTTTTTTTTGTAGGATATTGAATAACTCATTTTTTTATTTAGATCATTGTGTATATCCTCCTATCAAACCCCAGTTTGTTAATGTCAATCACATGATTATTATGGTCGGACTACCTGCTCGGGGAAAGACGTACATTGCAAGAAAGTTATGTAGATATTTAAACTGGTGTGGTATAGCTTCTAAAGGTATTTTATATGTATTATATAGCATTTAATTGTTTTCTATAATTACCATATAATTTAACATATAAATTTATTGAAGAACATTTTTCTGTAAAATAGCAAGACTCTGGTGAGCCTCTCCCCCTCCTTCCAATAAAAAAAAAGAAAAAAAAAAATTTTTTTGCAGATTTTGATCATCTTTTCTTTTTATTAGTGTTATCTGTTGGAGAATATCGTCGGAAAGCAGCTGGAACAGATCTTAAGCATGAATTTTTTATTAGAAGTAATATTGAGGCTGAAAAAATTAGACAGTAAGTAATCTTATCTTCAAATTGGGTACATCTTTTTTCCTTTAGTTTTCATGATTCTTCCCTTAAGTTTCCATGGTTACACTTGGTTTGTTTGCTCAAGTTTTTAAAGTACCATTTTCTAATTTAAATTTTTATGTGGTATGTTCCCTCTGATTTTTACAGGGTCCCTGGTATTATCATGCTCATCTTGTTTCTTTTCATAACTGTCTTAAAAAATTGAGAGAGGGCTGTGACAAAATAAAAATTACTCCTACCTCAAAGAAACATTTTTTAATTTAAAATTTATTATATAATTTTTATTTAACATCCATTATTAAATTGGGATAAAAAAGAATATCGTTATAAAGCAAGGGATAGGTTGACAGAAGACTTAAAAAGTTTTTTGATTGAGAGAGAGAGTTCTAAAGGGTTGAAGTGAGGGGAAAAAAAATAGATAAACAAGAGTTTTTAAAGCATGCAGGAACAGGTACAGGAAACGAATGAGACTTAGCTGAAATGTTGAGTCAAACGAGAATTTTAGTTGATAGAACTATAGATAATAACTCCTTTGAGCAGCGACCATAATAGTATTTGTAGAAATACTATTTCTACTAATACTATTGTTACAAATACTATATTTAGAATAGATAAAGAGATGCAACTTTATGACGATGGGAAAGAGACTCAAACTTAGCAGAAACTCTATTGCAATAGCAAATAACTGAGTTTTGTTGGAGTTAAAATTTACAAGTCACTGTAAGTCCCAATCTGATACAGAAGTGAGATCATATTCAAGATCTGTTGCCTGCTCTAAGCGATTGAAAAGAGAAAACTTTTTGTCTAGAAAGGAGTATAAAATTGAGTCATCAGCAAAAAAAACTACTTTAGGTGTAAGGTTGTCTGGAAGATCTTTAATGTAAATAAAAAACAAAACAGGACCAAGGATAAAATTTTGAAGTACACCAGAAGTTACTGGATATGAAAAAGAGTGTTCGCCTGTGAAGGTGACTAATAAAGCGGTTAGAAAGAAATGATTTGATAATTTCAAAGACTTTTCCAATTAGACTTCACAGATATTTCCCAGATATTTCTCATATCAAGCAAGCTTATGGAGAAGACCAGTGTGCCTAACTTTGTCAAAAACTTTAGATATGTCAAGAGCAATAGCTCTAGCTTACCACATCCATCTAATGCATGATAAAATCTATCAGTCACAGCAGTTAGCAAGTCAGCTGTAGAGCGAGAGGATCCAAAACTGTATTGATTGTTCAACAGTAAGTTATTTGACTCAAGGTGGGATGTAATAAATTTGTTGATCAAAAACTCATAGACATTGCCAACAACTGAAAGAAGATTGATTGGACGATAATTAAAGAGGTCAGAATGTTCTCTGTAGTTTTTTGAAAATTTGAACAACAGATACCACTATCTAGCAAGCAGGAAAATTAAGACTCAGTCAAGTAAATAGTTAAGAAAGAATTAAAGTTTTGGAGAACAGTTTTATAAGGCTGTATCAGAAATGTTGTCTGGACCACATGCTGTAGAACAGTTTATTTGAGATATGAATTTAGCAACGGATGCTGAAGTGATTTAAATATCTAACAACAGGTTAACCTGTTTAATTGGAATAGAATGAAGAGAATGGCCATAAGTACAAGAGTCAAATCAGAAGAAAAGTTCTTTGCAAATAGTTCTGCCTTATACTTGGGAGAAGTAATAAGATTAGTCCCATAAATGTGTGATAGAATGTTAGACCTACCCTTGTTAATGACACTATTGAAGGTTTTCCAGATTATCTCAAGAGCCTAATTTCTGAGATAAGATACAAGATTTAGTGAGAATAATGGAGCTTAGCATTAAACAGTACCTTTTTACGCCAATTTCTTGCAAAAATAAGTAGCAGGAGGTTATGTAGTAGTCGTAAGTTGTGTGATGATAGGGTGAGTCTGAAAAAGAAGTTTGAGATATAAGACTTGTAGAGATCATTGCATGGTCAGAACAACCTAAGGGAGAAGAAGGAGTAATTAAACACAAGTTAGGGTCGTAAAAATAGAGGTTAGACAAGACATAAATCAAGGAGGAAAGGTATTGAAATCAGGTTTAAAAGATTTGAACCTGATTTCACAACAAATAGGTGAACTGATGCGTATGTATACCCCTAAGTGACTATTGGATTTTTTGCGAATCAAAGGATAGTACCCATCAACACCAAAGTCCAAAAAAGGAATAGTGGAGTTAAAATTAGTCAACTAAGTTCAAGCTTGTCAGGTGTTTTTAAAATTTAGGCTCAACTAATGGAAGATTGTTTGGCAGACCACAAATATTTATTAAAGATATATAAAAGTTAGGTGGTGGGATAGTTTTTTTATGTTTAAAGTTTAGGATTACTTTCAGCATGAGTTAAGTTGAATGAGAGCTTGACTCATTTATAGATATAGCATGACCTCATTAGCAATGAGCTATGCAGTTGTCTCAGTCTTGTTAACCAACCCTAAGCCCTAACATAGGGGTCCTTACGTGGCCTTAGCAATGCACATCAAAAGCATTAACAAGGACACTATATATTTGCAACATAGCACTGTTAATACTTTGATATTTTGCAGCTGTAGATGGAATCATCCTCTCTGATAGCTACCACAGAGTTTAGAAACCTTACTACCATCTGGCCTCTGAACCATTAAACTGAGTTTTAGAACTGTACCCTCATTAGGAGATAACAGTGAGAGTTGTATAGCAACTATCAAGGATGCACAAGTAAAAACATGAGTAGAGTCAAAAAGATCCAGCATTTATAATCCTTGGCAGGAAACAATGTAACACATGTTTGCATCTATCCCAGCCTAATAGTTTAAGGTTGGTTGGCAGAATTATTCTGCTTACCCCTAAATTCTTAGCCAAGGAAGTCTTCTACAAGACAGTAGCTGGATGCAGTTTACATCTGCTCAAGATAAATATTTTTATTGAGACACTATCTCTAGCTTTTACTCAAGCAAGAGCCCAAAGACAGGGTATTTTTTAGTTTGTTTTTCCTAGCTTTTACTTAAAAAAACGCACCCTGCAAAGCAGCAGGGCATGAGGCAGGTAATACTGGGTTACATGATAAATAGTTAAAAGTAATTACTTCCCACAAACAGTACTTTAAAACACCAGGCATGATATTATGGAAACACATTAAGAAAAACAGTTTATCTAACAAAATACTAGGGACTATGGTAGGTTTTATATTTAGAGTAAGTAGTTTAAGTAGTTTAAGTAGTTTGTTACTGAGCTTACACTGCGTCTATGATTTAAGCAGAACACAAACATACATAAAGTAACTTACAGGTAAATGAACATTTATAGGTGAGTCAACACTGCATCAGAAGTTTAGGCAGAACACAAACATACTTATAAAGTTAATTACATGTGAGCTAATACAGTAACCAAGTAATATGTGAAAGTAATATGTAACAGTTTTTAAAAGTGTTGATAAATTTTAACAATTTTACTTAAGTCTTTTGTTTTTATAGTTTTTTAACTTTTTAAGGGACTTTTCAAGTCTACATTTAAATATCAGTTAAAATATTTAATTAAATAAAATTTCTGTTATTAATTATTCCAATGACAATGAATACATTTCTTGAAAACACAGCTTTCAATTTTTAGAAACATAATATATTTGGCTTATTTTAAAATAAATCAAATAAATTAGTAGTTAATATTATTTCCTTTAGATGTCATACATATTTTGAAAGCATGGTCTTTCTTTTGATTATTTAAAATGTTTTTTGTGGTTGATATTTTTGTCAATTGCCCTTGAATAAGTTAATATATTGTTTATTGGGGTTCTTTACTTATACAATTAGAAACAGTTTGTCAAGAGAACAAAGTAATGCTAGGCAGAAGAATAAGATAGAGAAAGAAGATGACAAGTTATTTACTTAATTTTATAGAAAATAATTTTTAATAAATAATTTTTATTAAAAATATTACTTGTTTAATTTAGCAGTAAATTTGGCATAAATTATGCTTAAGTTAGCAGTAAATTTTGCATGTTGTTAAAAAATATTGATAATGTCAATTATAGTATTTTTCCAAGTCAATTTAAAATAAAAGGATTGTTTAAATTAACCATAAATGAAATGAATATTTAAAATAACAATAAATGGAAATTTTTGTTTAAATTAAGAATTATTGGAAAGTTTTTAAGTCATTATTTTTAACTTGGATTTATTAAATGATTTGTATTTTTAATAAATGATTGCCAAAACATGAGTAGAAAGTTTGTATAGTAAATTGAAAACTATATATATATATATAAATATATAAATATATATATATATATATATATATATTTATATATATATATATATATATATATATATATATATATATATATATATATATATATATATATATATATATATATATATATATATATATATATATATATATATATATATATATTTAAACAATTTTAAAATGTATTCTACAAAATAGAGTGCTCAATGTTCTTAAAAGAACAGAGCAATAATAAAGTAGTAGAAAACCACTTGGCAAAAATTTTTTTTCATTTAACACTGTGTGTTAAATGAAAAAAAATTTTATCATTAAAATTTCTGATGAGTCTTTATTGGTGAAACACAGTGTTTCACCAATAAAGACTCATAAAAAAAATTTTGTTAAGTGATTTTCTACCACTTTATATATATATATATATATATATATATATATATATATATATATATATATATATATATATATATATATATATATATATATATATACATATATATATATATATATATATATATATATATATATATATATATATATATATATATATATATATATATATATATATATATATATATATATATATATATATATATATATATATATATATATACATATATATATATATATTTTTTCCAGCAACATTGAGTAGGGGAGGTGGGGATTATGTTTTTTATTTTCCCCTCTCCCTCATTCTCCTCTTGTTAAACCTGTGCCGCAACAATAATCATCATTTTCTTATTAATCATTTATGTTTATCTTGTTCAGTTTTTTCTATAATATGGTGTTGATTTAAAGGTATTTTTTGAATACATCAATTTACTGGTGGACGATATTACTTTAGCTAAAAGAAAACTATTTTACCTAAGATTGTATTAAACGCTTTTGTTGCATATACCATGCTATCAGTAAATAGTTTATTGAAAAATGTTTAAAGAATTTTAAACAGTTATTAACTATATTTTAGTAAGTTTAATTTAAAATAATAATTAAAAGTATTTTAAGCAATTTTCTATCAATATTTACATATATTATATTGCATAATATTTGTAAAATTAACAAAATAGTTTTACGTCTTGTTTGAATTAAAAACATAAGCATTCAATAAACAAATTCGATAAGCATTTAATAAACTTATTTAACAAACTATTCGAATAAAAACATAAGCTTTTAATAAACTTATTTTCTATTATTTTAAATTTAAAATTTTGATTTAAATATTAGTAAATCTGTTCATTTAACTTTTGCTAAAGGTTATAATTTTTATGTGGTTTTAAGGCACCTTTTAAAATAAAGATAATTAAAGAGATAATTACAGTAAACATAATTTTAAAAATATTTTATTATTTTGATTAAAAACCATATTATATTTTTAAAAACATATATTTAAAAAAAAAAAAAAATTTTAATTATTAGGAATAATTTTAAAAACTACATTTGAATAAATAAATTACATTTACTATGGGTAATTTTAAACAGGTCTAAATAAAAATTTTGTAAGTTATTAAAACCTTTTTTTTTATTATTTTAAAAAGAATATTGAAAGGAAAAAAAACTGTCTAAAAAAGTTTATACTTCGTTTTTTCGTTTTCCTCATGTAAATTAAAATAGCAAGCTAAAGATCAAAAGTTCATTCATTTAAAAATTAAACTTGTGCAATAGTTACAAGGACTAATATTTTTTGCTTTTGTTCATTTATTATCAAAAGCAGTTTACTCTTAATTGTCAAAAAGAAAAATTAACCTTTTGCTGAATGGATATTTAAAAAAACTTTAACTTTCAAAAAAGGAAATCTTTTATACATTTCATTGTTATAAAATTTTGCAATGTGGTTTTAAAATTAAGTTTCTTAACGAATTTCATTTTTTTAAAAGTCCAGTTAAAAAGCAATTTCTTTTTAATTCTTTTTATTTTCCTGAAGAAAAAATGAGTTAGCTAAATTAAACTGAGATTTATTTAAATACTACTGCATTTAAAACTAAATTTTTTTTTCTATTTTTCATAAAAAATCAAAGGAAAAATTAAAAATAAAAATAATTTTTGGGTGCCCATACCAGTATAACAGTACTAAAACACGTCTTGGTTCTTCACTGATATATATATATATATATATATATATATATATATATATATATATAATATATATATATATATATATATATATATTTCAATATAAAAAAGATATTGATAAAAGATAAAAGTAAATTTTAACTGTTATAAAATAATCTCCTATGTGATTACTTTACATGTAGTTTTTACACTACGGTTTTCAATTTAATAATAATAATAATAATAACAATATATATATATATATATATATATATATATATATATATATATATATATATATATATATATATATATATATATATATATATATATATATTTATATTTATATATATATATATATATATCAGGCTTTGGCATGCAGCAGGAGTGATGGCTTCCGCTTCTTCCGCTTCATGCCAATGCTAATAATAGTTTACTTGATTTTATATTTAATTTTTTTTATAAAAAGTTTTTGTTAAAGATTTTTGGTTAATTAAACAAAAATGTTCGCTTATATTTAAAAACAAAATAATCTCTACATAATTTAAATGTGTTTTTTTTAATGAAGTAAAATGTTTAAGTTATACTTCAATTAAAAAACTCATTTTTTCATGTTAACTTACTTCATTCTGTTGAAATTAGTGCGCAAATTTCTACGAATAATTAAAAGTGTTTTGTGAATGGGACTTCTTTATATATATATATATATTTTTTTTTTTTTTTAATTTTAATTCACCTCCTCAAGGCTGAGAAAGCCACTACAGACAAGAAGGCTACTTATTTGTGGCTATAACCCTCTCTAAACTCTATAACTTCGAAACACGAACCTTGACGAACAAGGCTGCTGCGCGGAGAAACGAGTTGAGCGCGGTACTACCAGGTACGTGGTAGTACCGCATTAGTATAAAACGTTTACAGCAAACATTTAATGAAATTAAATAAAATTTTATTCATTTATATAAGTTTATTAATAATATTAAATTGTGTAATAAATACAAATTAATTATGAGAAATGTTTAATTATAAATTTAATTTTATAAAAGCATTTGCTAAAAACCAAATGTATAATAATAAAAGTTTTTTATTTAATTTCGAAAAAAATATTTCTAAATACGTTGTGTTTTGAACGGAATAGTTTGCTTATCATTAAAAACAAAATCACTATTCGCATACTTTTAATAACATTTAGGCAGTCAAAGTAAAACAATAAAAAAAAATCTTTTTCTAAATATTAACCTATGTCATTCGGTAAATTTGAGCATTAGAAATATTTTTGGCCAAAATTTAATTAAATTTAAAAAGCTTTTGTTATTAAAATTGTTACTTATATTATTTATAACTTAATTAAAATTATAAATTTATTTAAGAAAAATAAAAGTTTGTGAAAACATTTGCTAAAAAAGTTCTATTAGCGTTAGCAACGAAAAAACATTAAATATGTTTAACAAAAAGAAATCGTTATGTCTTTGTTTTAATGTTTTAATGATGCAAAAACATTATGGATTTACATTTTAATTAAATGAAAGAAACAATGAAAAAGTAAAAGCTTATGAACTTCTTTCAAATAAATTTTATGTAATAATAAAAAAAAAGACATTCAAAGATGTTGAATCAGTAATAAATTTGACTGCTGTCTATCTAAAAGATTTTTCAATAAAATAGGCAGATATGATATAAAATTGTGGTTACAAAGTTCTTTTTTTAATTTCAGACATTAGTAGGATTAAATGAAACACGTTTATTCTTTTTTGTAGTGGTGATTTTAAGTCATTTATTCAACATTCTTATTCAACAAGAAAACTGTTTTTTCTATTTAATTGGGTACATCTATTGAAATGCATTTGCAATAACTGGCTACGACAACTTGACAGTGATTGTTAATTTCTATATCCTGGTTTTACTGATAAATCTAAATGTAATGCATGTATTTAACATATTTCAATACTTTATATTGCACGACTTGACATATGTACACTACCAAATATAATTATTGCAAAAAGTCTTTTTGAAAAATTGTTTTTGAAGGTTATCAGCTCTTTTTAAAAGAGCTGATAACTTTCAAAAAAAAAAAAAAAAGTATAAAAACGTTCCAAAAGTATTAAGGTTCCTGGCAACTTTCATAAATTAATATTTAAGAATATTGCTAAAGTTACTAAAAATAAGAATTTATTAATCTTAATGAGACTTTTGATATATTTTTTACAATTTAAATAATGTAAAATTAAAAGTTGCTTTCAAAATTTAAATAATGTAAAATTAAAAGTTTCAAAATTTGATTGTTATTATTATTACTTTTTTCATTCACTTTTTTTTTGTATTCAGATAATTTAAATTGAACGAAATATAAAAAAATTATCATGCAAAAGTTTATAATAAAAGTAAATCTTTTTACAACATAATAAATCAATAATTAAATGTCAAAAAAATAAAACTAATTAAATGTCACGGGCTTATTTCCATAAGCCCGGTTCCGTCTAACTTAATTACAGCTAAATCCTATTTTTTTGTAAATAGTTTACAATTAATTATAATAATAGAAGTTAAAATTAAAAATTTTTAACATGTTTATTATTATTTCGAATACTAA